ACGAGAATCAGATTAATTTTCTATAGTTGGTTCGTAAAGATTAATTTTGTTTTTACGAGTTGATCACGGTTTGATATTCTGGATTCGAACCCCACCGGGTGCGTACCACCGAGGATTCCCAAACTAGGATGAAACGGTTGTCCAGTACTTCAATGCTGGTTCTCTAAGTGATGTCAATCCGTGATCAACTCGAAAAAAAAACTGATCCTTACAAACCAACTATAGAAAATTAATATTTTTAATTAAAAAAATGAACAAAGATTAGTTTTCATATAAACAGTTTTCGCATTGATATGTCGATTAATACAGCTATGGAGGCAGTTAGGAATGAACTTGACATTGATCCTGATCTCAGAAATAGGTCAGCTATGTCTGACCTCCAATGTATTCAAATTTTAAAAGTAAATATCCAAATAAATGAATACATTTATAATGGGGTCACCAAAATCTCCAAATTAACAGATATATTAATGAACAATTGGGGACATAAGGCTCTTAGAACGTTCTACCAAGGTTCTGGGTTATGGTGGAGATATGTATATAACACATTCGCCGTGTTTAAATCTGAATATATCCTTGAGTTTTCCATACATATAAACACGGAAGCAGACTGAATTCAATTCACTTCTGAGTTAGAAAACGAGAAAGATGAGTTGACCATGCTAGAATGATTAATAAGACGAAGGCAAGATAGCGGATTAGACACTAGTATTTATAGGAAACTGACACACTCTAATAAATGCTTAGATTTCAGTTCACCCCAGCTAGAATCGGTAAAGATAGGTTTAGTTAAATGTCTGTATACTCGGACCAGGAGCCTAACTAGTAAGCCAGAAGATTTAAATAATAAAACCAAACAAATAAAAGGAAATATTACTAGTGACTAGCTACCCACCAGAATTTATTCAGAAATACATAAACAGACCCATAGAAGATATAAGATAAGTAATAAAAATGAAAAAATAATAACGAAAATGACATAAAATCCAAGCTTCTCTAGTACTGCCATATCGAAGATGAACGTCAGACGCCTTGTGTAGGACTCCGAATGAGGTTGGATTTAGGGCGGTATTTAAATCAACCAACTCTCTCAGAGATAAACTTTGTCAGCCTAAGGACCCAGTAGATCCAATCAAGAAAAATAATATAATTTTTCCAGTTAACATGGCAAAGAAAGACTGATAACCGATTCTTTCTGAACGCATAAATCAGATTTCAGGCGCTTGATGGAGATCACCTAGGCAAACTTGAGGAGAATTAGACTATTTTGCCTATGAATAATTTTGAACGATCTTGTGACGTCTACGTTGTGATCACCCGTGCCAAGGAGATATCTTGTGATGGCACTGTTTAAAGCATTTGTTCCCATTAGACATAAGCTTTTTGGTACATATTCAGAAAATCGTAGGTATACCCTTCTTTCTGTTATTTCAATGTAACTGTTCCCGCAGATACATGTAAATTTGTATATACAGTTGGAATGACAGAAAGAAGGGTATACCTACTATTTTCCAAACATGTACCAAAAAGCTTATATATAAAGGGAACAAATGCTTTAAACAGTGCCATCACCAGGAATCTCCTTGACACGGGTCATGAAGTGGACATCGAAAAGTCGTTCAAAATTACCAATAGGCAACAGAGCTCAATTCTCCTTAAGTTTGCTGAAGCCATTTCGATCAAGCGCCTGAAACATGACTTATGTGTCGAGAAAGAAGCAATTATCAGTCTTTCTTTGCCATGGTAACTCGATATTATCTTCTCTCTTTCATCTGAATGCAAAATGCTGAGTAGTTTCCATTGTATATCATTATTATTGTTGTTCAGAATAGTGTTCAATATTACATATATATGTATATATTATTGCTATATACATATGTCGATCGATTGACTCATGTTTAAAATGAACTTTATGTATGTTAAAATTATTTTTGTAGATATATTTAATAATGTCTTTGGCCTGTAAGCAGATGACGAGAAGGCGACAGAATAAAAGATGGTACCACACTATTCTGCTAAAACTGTAGTTCTTGCTTAGTTCATAAATAATTAGCTGAACCTAGAATGATTGAACCTGGTAATTTAAATAACCTGGAAAAAGTCTGGACCACTTCCTTGCGTTCACCTGCATGTAATAGGGAAGTAGTCCAGGACAAAGTGAAAACATTAGAACGTCATGTAGTTAGATAGGGAGAGAGAGAGAGAGAGAGGTTAATCACTGAATCTTTGTCTATCAATTCAACACTGCATATGTGCAATCGAAATGACACAGTAACCAATTTTGAGATATGGAAAATGGTTAACAAACAACAATGGGAAACTGAAGAGACAAAAAAAGAGAAAAAGTATGTAAGATAAATTCTGAAGCCGTATGACCGAAGTGATATGATTATCAGCAATAAACTGTGCTCAAAACTTTATCCAGATATTAATACTGCATCACTGTGTGTAATACCAAATACATTTATCTACTATAGAATTACATTTTACCACGGTGCTCAAGTTCTGCACTTACGTGTAGTATATCCTATGAGGAGAATAGGAAAGCTTATCGTCAATCGTTGAGCCGAGTTAAGGGAGTAGAAGTGAACAGGATGAATGAAGATGTACTACTGAAGTCGCATTTTCCACTGGCAATTCAAGGGAATAATAATGAGGAATGGTATATCCTATAGGCCATTGGGCAGAATAAAGTTATACCTAAAAAGAAAATATCACGGTCAGAAATCGAAAAATAAGCAAGTTCAATCTACACAAACGTCCGATATTATGAAGTAAAATTTGATCTTAACTCTGTCTTCAATTGTTATATTGTTCTCCTAAGAATGCTAAATCAGTTTAGATTAAAAGTGATCTATCACGGAGTACTAATTCTTAGAAGAGAATGAACAAACTACTCTTCAAGTTAATTTGTGTCTTCTTTTGACTTATTGAAATACTTGGTCACTTTTGATATGTCAGCTCCTATGTCCGAAGATCAATCTATTGTTATTTAGACTCATGGCAAATAGCAGCGAAACCTATGATCCTCATTTCGTCCCATTCGGCACTCTTCACCTGGATACATCTACAATCCGCAATGAATAGTAGTATTCCTTCTGATACACTTCACCTATCCAGTAGGTCTTTGGGTTAACTGAGGATTCCTAAATGCGACGAAGTGCGCGTTCTGGGTTCCACAGATAATCACCATCAACCAAAATAACATTACAGAGTGAATAAACACTGCAAGAGAATAAAATGGATCCAGTGTTTGTTCCCTCCCTTTTCAAATTTCTTAAGAAGAACTTGGGTATGAATGTCGAATCAGTGGATAAATATTCTTGAGATCACACTGCTATTTGACCAAGGTGTCACTGATGAGTGGCTTTAAAACAAGATAATGTAGAAAGTGTATATTTCTCCATTTTACTGTAACGATTGACCGTTTACCTACGAAAATTGAATGCATTCCCTAATTACTTGACTCCTCGTAGGAAGGATTAAACGAGTAACATAGTTTAGCGCGTCATTCAACTCATGAATGCCCAAAATACGCGCATAAAAAATAGAAGGGACTTTTAAGTAATATCATTCTTAAGACGTTCAAATGGAACCCTATTGAGGAACGACAGGTTGAGCCCCCCTCGGGTCACTTAAAGGAGATCGTGTGGGAAGGAAGTGAAAGTGTACGAATAATTGTGGAACGAGCTAAAAAATATCCACAGAGAAGATAGTAGAGTAGCAATATAGCTACTAAAGCCCCATATTCCATTAGGAACCCACTGAACGAATAATAAAATTTACAATAATAATAAGTAAGGGATCACATGTATCCATTACTGACTTAACATTTCGTCTACAAAAACAATATATAGAATTCCATCATGAGCTGACATCAGTTAGAGAAACCGCTGAAAAACCTGAGAGTATTGAACAGCTGCTTCGTCTTAGTTCGGAACTCTTCATCAGGGTTCGAACCCAGGACTTTTTGGCTACAAGGCAAGCTAGCTCGTAGACCATTATGCCACTGGGACCCGATCCAATGGCCCATGAATTCAGTCTTCTACCGATTCGCGATATAGCGTGGGAAATCGTGAACAGTATGGTGCAGCAGGTCGGGTGTGAGGACATTTACTCGCCAAAGACATTGGCTGGCAGTTGCGCTACATCGTGAATTGGCAGAAGTTAGAATTCATGGGCCATTGGATTGGTTCCCAGTGGCGTAATGGTCTACGAACTAGCTTGCCCTGTAACCAGAAGGTCCTGGTTCGAATCCTGTTGGTGGGGTGCGTACTGATGAAGAGTTCCAAACGAGTCTGACGAAACAGCTGCCCAGTACTCTCAGCTAGTTTTCCAATGGTTTTCTAACCAATGTCAGCTCATGATGAAATCCTGTAACCAATCAACCTAATCCCTACAAATCAATACTTGAAAAACAAAAGTATAACTTGAAAATTAAAACAAAACAATTTTCATGATTTATTGAACTAAACCAGCTGTGTGTTGTGCGGAATCATTTCCTTCTGGAACACTTCTGATTGGTCAATTACTCAGCGACTTAGATAATGCAAGTTAACACATAACGTGCAATTCATATAGCCAACAAAAAAAATTAACCAATCAGACTGATTGTTAGTTGTAAGATTACTTCTTAAATTTGTTCTAATTTGTTCTCAATAATCAACTGGCATATATAAGAAATCAAATATATATATATATATATATTTGGTCACATATAAATATTCGTATTCGTAATATGCTCAATTTTGATGTATCAACTGAGAGGAGTTATTTAAAGTGAAATCCGAGGAAAACCAAACCAAAAGTCTGAGAAGAATCATCTCATCTTAAATAAATCAGTTGTCCTCCGATCTATGCTCTGATACATTCACTCATCCACTCATCGGAAACTCCTCCACAGAAGCCAAATATTTATCATCACTGAACAAACAAAATACAGAAGTAAACTTTTTTCATAACCAATCTCCCCACTCATCTTATTGATTTTTTTTTATGGAATGCCTTCCACAAATAAAATCAAAACTTGTGGACGTCGAAAACGCCTGCGCTACTTCGAATCAACAGCTGATTTAATCTCACGTAAAATTATTACCTCTGGTGAAGAATTCAATCATAATCAAGTGCACACATTATTATTATCCTTAAAATCGCGTAAACCATTATCTCGTTCAAAATTACGCTGTGAACCAGATGGGATAAGACTGAAGCGTATTTCAAAGTTTAGTTCACCACCGCCAAGAAAATTCTATGCTTATAAAGATATTGAGCATTATTATGTATTTGATAATGATCCTACAATTCTTATTCTAGGCTGTATTGATCGAGAACAGAATTCACGTTATTATGATTTCTTCAAATTACCTGAATCCCATTATAAAGATATTACAACACTGATTGATAAAGCAAGAAGTCATTCTGATTATGTTCTGAATGAAGATGACACAACCTTACCAACTCCAGGTGTTTATTCATCACATTCTAGTTTAAATGTATCCACTGAACACCTATCACATAACAATAATCTACCTTCAGAAGGTAGTGTTCATGAAAATGAAAGCTATGCAAATATAGGCATTAGCAATAAGACAGAAAATGACAACATAACTAAAGCTTCAACGACTGATCTGCGCGGAAGTACAACTGAAACCATTCAACCAATTGAAACGCAATCATTGCAACAAAACAGTGATGATCATGACGATGTGATCATTCACAATCATTATGATGATCATGAAGATCCAATTGAGCCTATACTGATTAAATGTGAACAAGAGACATGGGGAACGTCTTTAAAAACTACTGCTCCACCTGATCATCAAAAAGCTTCACCAGTATCGATGAAAGTCAATGAACCACTACCAAAAGTTGTCTTTAACGAGGATGATGATGATGACAGTGAAATAGCTAGTTTAAAAATGAAATTCAAGGAATTAAAAGAGAAAGATGAAACATTTGCAAAATTAAGTGAAAATATCAATGTGAATGATTTAACCGCTATGGATTTTCGTTATGTAGCAACACATCCAGAACACGGTAATCGTATCGCTGATAATGGTGACGTTTATATTTTTATTGCACATTATAAACGACCAGAGAATATTAAGAATCTTGACGCTTATAATCCTGAAGCCTACACAAATGTTGATGAAATCATTAGTGGTGAACATCATAGAAAGAGTACAGCTGATAAAAACTTTTGTTTACAATATATTTAAATTGAGAACAGTTTTAAATGAGAATCCATAAAATTGCCTAAGTAACTCCTATTTTCTCCTTTGCTACATCTTTATTCATGTTGTTTCCTATGCCTTAGTTATCTAAAGATTAACAATAATTAAAAGACAAATTACCATTTCTCTTGACACACAAGAATGGAAACACGCTCAAACGGCTTTCTTCTATAGAAGTAATCGTTTCTAAAGCATATATATGTACACATAAACTTTTAAATACACTTATAAACTACTGTTATCGCTATCTACAGATTTAGTCAATTTCTTCAAAATGATGATAATCGGTATGTAAACACATCTAATGTAAGTGGGATTGTTGACCGACGTAAAAGTGAAATTTTGATAAATTTCCCCTCTTCTCTTCCTTTTCTATAGACATGTCTAGTTATTTTCATTATCTTCGTGTGCATATTAAGAATGACTTTCTTATTCTTTTTCATAATAATAATAATAATAATATTACCATTATTATGAACTATGATAGTTTTACTTTAAATATTACCCAATGCTTTGTTTTTTCTTTTAAATTTACTATTTAACTGATTCTTGATTGAATTGGCGCGAACAACATTGAACCATTGAACGTGCCCCTTAGATTATGCTTAGAAAAGTAAAACAAATAAAAAGACAAAAAGGATGTGAAAGTGCAGATAGATGGGAGGAAAAAGAAAAACAAAAAGACGAATGCTGAAACAAATAAATGTTAAAAATTTATGAGAGATTACCAAAAGTAAAAAAAGAGTACATATCAGAATTTATTGTCAAATGTTACAGTGTTCAAAACAAAATGGAAGATGGCGGGAAATAATTATTAGTTTAAATTAATACAGTCTTGATATTATATGATTGATTCATTGTCTCTTTCTCTTTTTTTTATGAACATAAAAATATGTATTCATTTATCTTATCTTTGTTTATTTTATAACTGAAAATAATTTTCAAATAAGAAAGTTAACTGTTTTAAGGCTTAAATCAGAGGCATACAGACTCAGTTACTCAACAAGCAGGTCCATATGATTTGTATAATATTTAATTCAACTACGGTCATTTAATCCATTAGTCAATCATATATATCAGTTTGGACAATTCTGAGTAAGTTAGCATTTAATTTTTGTATATCCACTAGATCCAAGGGCATGGATGGATATAACACTCCTCTCCTGTATTGTATTTCCTGTAGTAACACATAAACGAGACTCAAACTCTCTCGTTGCATTTCAATCAAATTGTGTCATTTCAAAGTTTACTAAAGCGTAACCAAAGTTATGTACCCAGTCCTTCGTGTTGGAACTGAATGAATTCGACTAGTCAAGGATGCATTGTAATGACTCATAGTCATGATTTATTCCGATTTAATGTGAAATGGTAGGAGGCACTGATTGACGCAGTTTCAAATCTCGAAAAGGCGGTATCAGATACTTCAAGACTGCAGAAACACCTTACTGATGAGTGGAACAAGCGTGAAATCTAAAAGTTGAGATTTCTGTCAACTATATCCAACTCCCTGACGAATATGTACATCTCATTTCAAGCACATTTCGCCGGCTAGTATACAGTTTAAACCATTTAACTTGTTTTATAGTTTCTATTTCACGTTGACTTCTAGATTATTTTTCCATTTAAGCAGTTCATAGGGAAATGAGTGAAAGTGTATTTAACAACCGACAAACTGACAATGGTTATCGACAATTATAATCGTTTACACTCCCTAAGGACTGATTCTGAATCCGATTTCCTGCGGAAAATATCCCCACTGAGGAAATTGAAAGATGTTATAAATCACTTCAAAGATATTTTGTCTTTTTTCTTCAGAATTCTTCAAGAATATGACTCACATGAAAACTCAAACTTTTCATTATCACAATCCATAAAGAACAAGTCTTTATTCAGCCAGTGAGTGAGCTAGAGCCAGCTGGGTTAATCTGAGATCAAATGCCACCAGGACAAAAAATGATGCCCAACAGGTCCTTCTTACTCTAATGATTTTGTATGTATACAGAGTGCACGATAAGTAATCATGTTATCTTATAATCATGATCATAGGTACTTGTGAGCCGCAGACGACCATCAGAAATCTGTCAAATGATATATGATGTACAATACTCCTCTCAGTGATTTCGATTTTTGATAGTTATACGGTTAGAATACTCTTCATAGTTTACTAAACAGGTAGATAGAACAAAACTCGCTCTGTTGGCAACCGTAAACATCATTCAAAAATAGAAACGTCCAAAGGTTAAGCGCATATTTTATGAGTGAAAATTTAATTTATGCAGAATTGCACAAAATCGATAAGTAAATCTGTTTATTTAGCTGTTTTCGGCCTAAGAGATTAGAATTTGTGCACTATGGTAGAATACAATTCCATATTCTATAAGTTTATTTAATCAAACATACAGTTATAGAGGTTTATTAACTAGATGATGGTGTTTTGAGCACATTTTGCTGTTCATGATTATATCAATGTTTTTTTTCAACTATCTCCTGTAATTCACAACACGAAATTAACGGAATCCTTCAAAGTGAAGATAGGAGTAAGACAAGGCTGGCTGGCTGCCTATTATCTCCAGTGATTAATTTCCTGATTGTGGTAGGCTGGATAATGCGACAAACAGTGGCGAGCAACGAGGAAACCGGCATAAAATGGACCCACACAAAATGCTTGGAGGATCTGGATATATGTCTGATTTCCCACAAAATGGAAGATATGCATATGAAAAGCAACAAGTTGGTAGAGGGAGCATCTAGAGAAGAGTGGTCTTCATTTAAAGATATAGGAAACAGAGGTGATGAATATTCCTGGCCACGAGAAGCAGCAACACCAACAGACAACAATCAGCCAGCATAAATGAGAGGAATCTGAAAGAAACAACCTCCTTTACCTACCTACCTGATAAGCGTCGTTTTAACTACGGACGGATGGAACTGATGAGGATAGTAAAGCAGCGAGGATCGGGAAAGCAAGGTAAGCTTTCATTACTCTCAAGTAGGTGTGGAGATCAACAGCACTCAGCATAAAAAAATAATATCCGGATTTTCAACTCCAATATGAAGTCAGTACTACTCACTATATGGAACAGAAACTTGGCGCCGCGTCACGAAGGCCACATCCAACAAACTTCAGACCCTCATCAATAGCGGTCATCGTTCAATACTCAAGATCAGATGGCTGGCCAGAGTTGATCAGCAACAGGGATCTCTGGGAGCGATTCAACTCAGTAGGAACCGATTGTGCAACAAGTAAGCAGGAAGAAATGGAGGCGGATTGACCATAATCTGAGAAAACAAACCATCAAGTGACATCACAAGACAGGTCATCGCTCGAACAGAACCCGAATGGGAAGCGAAGAACTGTTCGTGTGTGAGGGTGGGTTGACATGGAGGACGTCATGTGAAGAGGAGATGAAAGCATGCGAGCAGATGTGGGGTCATGTGAAAACGTTGGCAGAGAACCGAATGCAATGGAGATATGCGGCTGAAGCTGTATGTTCCTCTAGCAACTAAAGGAAACATTAATAAATAATAATAATCTCCTGTTTTCCAGTCCACTTCTCTATATGTCTAGGAGTGTTGTTGTTCTATTTCTATTACATGTACTGGGTGTGACTGCATGTACAAAGATTCGGCAGTTAATCCGTCTTTTCACCTAATCAAATTACTTTTAGCACAGATACTAAAAAGTTATATCACAACTGCGCTTTTGGCCTAATCAGTTATTAAGCTGTTAAACGTGTCAAATGTGATACATAACGTCGAGAAATTCTCTCCTGCAAACATTCTCTCATGTTAAGTACACTTTGGAGAATTATATTTTTAAAATACTTTGAACTTCTGAAAACATTTTTCCCTTGTCCTAAGAATGGAATACTTTATCCCATTGTTTGATAAAATACACTTTTGGCTGATGGACATTAGATTATAAAGTACAATATACATGTGTGATGAGTCTTTTCAATACAGTCTTGTTAAGTGTAAAGCTTTAGAGTAGAAGAACAGTTTTAGTGTCTTCATCTTAGCTACTTAAGAATTCCTGTCGCTCGTAGCCAGATTATTTTTTCCATTTGAGAGGAGCAATTAGCAACGACTAGGCTTTAAAGCTGTTAGCTTACGCCTAATATTACTTCTAAGTCACTGTCATCAGTGTTCCATGTGTTAAATTTTAGGCATTGTGGTTGAGTATAGTACAACATCAAATTGTTCATCTGACATGGTACAAAATATTACAGTAGTGTTTGCTTGATAATAACTCATGATGCAATCGAAGTAACACCGACATAAGTGCATTTGATTTAATAATTTTGCGTTTAGCTATTGAGAAAACGTGACCGAACTGTTATTCTTGAACATTACAAGCATCAACTTTGTAGGAATTGTCTTTGAATGTTTGAAAGGTTTGATCATGAGTTGACCTCAGTTACAGAATCATTGCAAAATGGTTTTCCAATGATGCCCACTAGCGATTGGGCATCTTCTGGCAGTTAACCTAGGATTCAAGTGGTAAGCCGTGATCAGTAGGGTGCAGCAGGTTGACGGTGAAGCAGTAACTCATCTAAGAAGCCTATGCGTAATGGTCGCGCTATGTTGTGAATTCGCAGAAGTTAGAATTCATGGATTGGCCATTGGATCGGGTCCCAGTGAGTTAATGGTCTACGAGCTCGCTAGCCTTGTAAGCGGAACGTCCTGCGTTCGAACCCTTGCTGGTAGGTGCATACTGTTGGAGAGTTTCAAACTAGGCTGACTCAACAGCTGTCTAGTACTCACAGCTGATTTTCCAATGGTTCTCTAACTGATGTCAGCTCATGATGAAACCCTCCAACCAATGTTATTCTTAAACTTCATATTTTACTCCTGGGCATTTATACCCTGCAGTGGTGTATTACCGACATGGCTTTTGGGTGGAAATGTGTCATTCAGTAGGAATAAAATATTTACCTAGAATTTGAAAAGTAAGATTTTATAAGTCAAATCATTTTTAGGGTTCC